GGCAGCACACTGGCAAGATGAAGATAAGTTGGCTAATTCTTGGTGCTTTATTTGGTGCTTCCCTTAGCATATGGTTACCAGTTCTGTCTATGAATTTCTCTGTTGTTAAAACCTCTTAATCAGCATACTAAACTGTGGCTTTGATGTTAAACCACATCTCCTCTTGTTGAAACATATAGGTTGGTGGAACTCTTTCTTTAGTTTCCCCGTCTTCAATTTTTTTTCTTAAAAATTCCCTGCCTCACTGGCATTGAATTCCAGTTTAAGGAATTAGAATACTGAACAGAGTGATAAAATAACTGACTAAAGTGAAGTCATGTCATATTTGGTAATTGAACTGTGTTGAGGGGGGCTCCATATGAAACAGATTTCTGAATTAGCATGTGACAATACGGAAAACTGGAGGTGTCCTTCATATAAAATTTTGAATCAGAAAGAAAAGGAGGGATGGGTTTGTGAGAAAAGACAAAATGACAGAGGTATGTATTTATTAATTTTTCACCAAAATTCACTGATAGTGAACTGTATTGAAGGTCTGTGGTTTGCAACACAACTTTTCAGTTGTGAGTTTGGTTTTGGGACACTTCTTTGTTTTTGTGTTTAGCACCACAAAACTAGGCTACCTTTTCCTGTTCTCAAACAAATTGTGATGCAGTTAACATAATCCAACCAACAATACAGCTACTTGTTACTTGACTTCTCCGTAGTTTTTTATTGTGGAGTATCAAATCAGTTGTTGGACTGTCAGGCAAAATATCCAAGAAATTTTTTTCCTGCATTGTTAGATTTTCCCACACTTATAGATATTGGAACTTGTGTGATGTGGTTTGTACTGATAAACAATCATGTTAGATGGTATTTGCTTTCTTTTCTTTCACAGCTTTCTAGTAAAAAAAAAAAAAAAATCCACTGATCTGCTCAAGTCTGACTGTAATTGGACTGTGCATGACAATGAAACATGTCAAGGATTCCATTTATTCCCCTACAGCAGCTGCTCCTACTTTATTTGAAGTAATTGCTTTTATTTATTAATTGACTTTCATTCAGACTATGAACCTGTTTGTCAATAGTCACAGTTTGTTCACTGCCTGGCCCTTTCTTTAATGGTAATCTCTGATTAGTCACTCTGTTCCCAGCCTTTGCAGTTTGTTATGATCTCTTATAGAGGAAAGAGATGGAGGAGGATTGCAGTTATCTGTAAATAATTAGGCAGGTGGGCACTTTATGCCAGCTTTGCAAAAAAGGTTTTCAGCATACTAATCAAATGCCAAACATGAGCTAATGTGTGCCATTGTTCTTGAACCCCGTGAGGCTAAATATGCAGAAGGATGCATTTTGCTAAGGCTGTAACTAACACAGCCATAGACTGATTCCATTTTTTCTGCATGGCTATTTTGTCATTAGTTTAATTTGAAAGAGGGAGTAATAAAACTAATTTTTATGGTTACACAGTGACATTAAATGGTGAGTTTTATGAAAGACTATTAGAAGTAGTGATAAGAATGTTGATCTTAAATTTTGTAAGAAAAAAGGGAAACAAATAGTTAGAAAGATTTGTTAAACTAAACATTGTATAAATCTGTTTGCTTTTGTGCTTGCTTATACAGTTTTTATAAAAAAGATAGGGTTTTTATTTATCTCATTTTAGAAACAAAGTACTCCCAGAAAAGACATTATTGAGATTTTTCTACCTAATTTTCAACAAATTTTAGGGACCCAGATATCCCCTTCTTATAAGGAAATATTTCATATTTTTCAGGAAATGCAAATTTAAGTGAATTCATTGTATGAATCCATAAAATCTGAAAATATCAGGCCCATTTTAAAGTAGATTTTCAGAAAGAATCTATCTTTCTTAATAATTCTTCTAGCTTAGTTTCCCTTTCAGGTTATTGTACTCTATACTGTCACAGCAGCGTGCTTCCAGACTCTTAGTTTGATCATCCTTTATGTTTTTGCCTGTGCTTGGTGACTACTTCGAGGTGTCTCCTGAAGGAAAAAATGTGTTTGGAAAAGAAACTAATAAACACGAGTCCCATTTTCATGTCTTGCATGATACTGATACTCCACAGTGTTAGCACTTGTATATACTTGGACAGGATGCTAAAGCTCACTTGAGTGAAAGATAGCATAGATACAATGGGTTAAAAAGGTGATCCCATGTGAGATGCATTGTGAGAAGAATATATGCCACCTCAGGATATATTATGGACCCTCAAAGACAAGAAGATTTCAGGGAGACATAGGTTAAATAGATATGCTGAGGAAGTAGGTAGTAAAGTCCATCAAGGCAGATGTTAGAAGTGGAATAAGTGTTCTTGGGAGAAACCAAGAGATCGCTGTCTCAGGATCCTTGCTGAAGAGTGGGGTGAACTGCTGCTGCCACCCACCGTGAGGCTGCACTTCTGTATCTTTCAGATGGGATGAGTGGTAGGATTATGTCTGTCTCCAGAGGGAGAAGGAGATGTCTCGTTGCAGAAGTGTGAACTTATGAATTGAGGATATTTTCAGATATGTCTCAAGAGGCTAGCACTTGGACATCTTGTTATACATTCAGCAAGACACTTGAAAACCAGTAGTAACTAATTTTATGATATTAAACTATTGGTATTAGATTATTTTTGAACACTTGTATCAAGAAGACTTAAAGTTTGTTGTTGTTTCATTTTTTTCCCAAGGTTTTCTAAACAGGTCCTCTAATACATGGCATGCTGGTTTCAACTGGAATAGAGTTATTTTTTTTCCTTAGTAGCTGGTGCAGTGCTGTGTTTTGGATTTAATAGGATAAAAACTTGCACATTTAGTACTGAAGGGTAAAAGAACACAAGCATCTGGGTCTGCTGATACTATTCCGTTGTTTTATGTGTTCAAAATAATCTGTAAGGTCCTCTTCCTTTTCTATCTTAATTTATTAGGATGATTGGTATTCTAGAACAACCTGTGTTTTCTTGCTCTGGGCAGATTTGATTGTAATGACACTTTGATAATTTTTCTCAAACAAGGCAGTGCTACTGTGAAGAGGCTGCTTAGAGTAGCACCTTCAGACTCAGTCTTCACTTTTCATACATTTGGTTGTGTCTGTTGATTTCACTCACTGACTTCTTTTGTTTCTAGTATTTGCACTGTAAAGGCAACACATAAATCTTTGTTCATTCTGTTCCATTTAAGCCCGTTAAAACACTTCTCTGGTGCACTGCCTTGGGCTCTCCTTTGTACTACAGCAAGGCAGGTTTTCTTTCCCATTGCAACCACTACAGATGAAAACAGAAAGACGAATTTTAAGGTTGAGCAGGTACAGCGTTTTCACAGGTGTCTTGAATGTTGTTTACAGAAATAGGGGAAAAAAATCAAGGACTTGTTTTGACCTGCAGAATCTTCCCCTGATGGCAGTGACTCTCAAGAAATATGCAGAGTTTTAGAGCAAAGTCACCTCTAAACTGCATTTTTAATTAGTCCTTTCATTCTCTCTTTCCCTCCACTTTTTGCCTCATACATTAGTTATTCATAACCTTTGAAACTCACTCAGTTACCACAGTCCAGGTGCTAATTCATCTGCTATACATCACAGAGCAAGAGCAAGCCTCCCTCTAGCATATACCTGCTCTTCACCCATCTGAAGAGGTGGGAAAATTAAGAGAGATTGAGGTAATCTTGGAATATCTACCTTGGTACTTCTGGAAGACAACTGCCAAATTTCACAAACTTTCCTCATGGGTGGTATCAGTTCCAGAAATTAGTGAGAAGTCTGTAACTTGTGCAGTTGGCTGCTGTGATTGTTTAAAGTAAAATGGGCACAATCCCCCACTCCAACTAATGAAGCCATCTGCTTTTATTTAGAAACAGAATTGTCTGACTGCACTATGCATTTTTATTGACCAAATAAACCGGTAGTGACTCCTTTGGCTCAAGAAGGAGTGTGAACACTGTCTCTTCCTCCCACTCCTCTGTCCACTCATCCCATAACTGAGAGGTGAACAACCAACACCAAGTGTCTAAGTCTGGTCTCCAGCTCTTTTTCCCTGCAGGGAAGCTGCCGAGTTGCTCATTAAAGACCTCATGAGGCAGCTGTGCAGGAAAGGTCACATCTGCCACCAAGTAGAGAGACTGTTGCCCTTAAGGTTAGAGTCATGGTCTACAGCTGAGAAAAATACAACAGAGAGCTGCTGTTTTGCCCCTGTGTTTGAAGTGCAGAAACAACTGGCTGGATTCGTTGAAAAAAATATATTTTTTTGCATCTGTAATGTTTATCTTACTCAAGTTTTACTGTGTCAAGAATTATTTTATTAAAAGCCTGTGGGATTTCCTTTAATTAATTTATTTATTTCCTTTCTTTTCTGGCCAAAAATCAACTGAGGAATTTAGTTTTCTATTAAAAAGTTTTCTGGAGTCTTTAATAAACAAAGTGGAACTTCTTAATGGAAATTTCCTTCCTGATTATGATTATATATACTTTTGTGTGTATGTTAGTAAATATATGAGGAAGATGGTAGAAGATAGTTCTGCAAACTGTGATGTTTACTTCCCACATATTCACAAATTCTTCATAATCTGAAATTTCTTGAAGGATCTTAAAGTACGTATTGTAAAGTTTGGGGGAAAACATAAAAAGCTTGTTTGGTTTGCTTCTCCAGAGATGTAGAATCGCTGTCTTAACAAATATAGTCTAGCCCTGAAGTAGCAAGGTTGCCCTTAAATTTCTGTCCAGGGTCCCTGGAGGTGATTGCATTGTGTGGGAACATTCACACTACCGTAACCTCCCGTCACGTATCTTCTTCCTTAAGTAATCACTGTGTGTCAGGGGAGAGGAGGTACGGACAGAAGGCTGTGTGCATCTTTTGTCAACCTGTAGTTTCTCAGTCTGGTTTACAGCCTGCTGCGTGCAAATGATAATACAAAAGAGAATAGAGGAACTGGCTTCAGATTTATATACAAAATATAAATAGTTGGCTTGCAGACTTTGGTAAACGTATACATAGATATGGTTGTTTCTCTGTTTTTAGGAATACACTATAGATATAATTTTTGCCCAGACTTGGTATGACAGTCGTCTAAAATTTAACAGCTCAATGAAGGTGCTTATGCTTAATAGCAATATGGTTGGAAAAATTTGGATTCCAGACACTTTCTTCCGGAACTCAAGGAAATCTGATGCTCACTGGATTACAACTCCAAATCGTTTGCTTCGAATCTGGAGTGATGGAAGAGTATTATACACTCTAAGGTGGGTTTTTATTGTCTGGGTAGGAAAAAAACAAACAAATGAACTGTTAGGACCAGGAATATGAAAATAATGAATATGAATCAAATTCCTGGCATCTCTTTTGTTATGGACCGGAATTCACAAGGAGTTAACTAAAGGAGAAAAAAACAGATTACTTGATCATGAAAAACATGAGATTTATAGTATTGAAATATATTGCCTAGATAATTGGGTAGAGACAACTGAAGGAGATAGCATATTTTGATCTCACTCTCACTTTTGATCTCTCTCTCAGGATTTTAAAAAAGGTGTTATATAGGGTATAGCACCATGATGGTCTGTCACTAATATATTGTGGATAAATCATAAATTGTTTTGCAGACTTTCTGGTCTAAATAGTTTGTTATCTAATTTCCACCAAATTATATTATGTAAGGAAAATATTAAATACTTTGGGTAATAAAAATCATACGAAATTCAATTAAAGCTAAGGCCTCAATCCTGCATATGATTCTTAACATGTTTTTACCCTTCCAAGCTATTAAAATCAATGGATCTGTTCATCCAAATTAGGCATAAGCAAACATGTTTGTGATAATTCTTGGCAAATGGGAGGTGCTTGTGCTGGCTGGTTTTAAGCTTACCATCTAGCTATCTGTACTGATCTTTGAGTCACTTTTCAAACTTTTTTTCTTGAAAGGCTGTAGCTTACAGAAAACATTTTAGGGTCATCTCTCAGTCTAATTTTTTTAAGTATGCCTAAAAAATCTTGCAATAAATCATAAGCTGATCAAGAAATAGTCCATTCAAAGGATGCCATAAATATGATTCTGCTCTTAAGAGTTTATTTATTTATCTAAACAAAAACTGGCACCATTTAATTACATTCTTCTCAATCATTTGTGTTGTGTTCATATGCAGGCTAGTTGTGTTGTGTGAGTAATTTATAAAAAGTCTTCTCTATCAGATGTAAGAAGAATTAGAATGTTTTAAAAGGATTCTCTTCAATGAATTTTTTCCATAGTATGATTAATTTGGGGGCATACAGACATCTCTGAAGGGCACTTTTTAAATGGTTTATTAGGTTGGTGTTTACAAGAGTTTCTAGAGACCTCTTCTGTTGACATGCTATGTTTTTTTCCTTTTTCTAGTTGGCATTCGTAGAGTCATACTTGGACTTTATCCTTCCATTCATTGTCTATTCAGTTTCAATGTACAATTTCTTCTAAAGAGGTTCAAAGTAACACAAAGCAATAAATAAATGCAAGCAAAAAAGATCCTGTGAGCCCCCACAGAGCAATAGGTTAGAATCACTGTGGTAGAGTATGAGCTGTAAAGCACAATGAGCTCGTAACAAAACAGCAGAACACGTTTTCACCTGGCACTGCAACGTGCAAATGTCTGTATGGGTGAGGATACGTCCTGAATTTGGCCTAAGGCAGAACAACACTGAGAGGTTCATATGTTGCTTATTGAAGGAACTTTAATATGACCTGACAGTGCTCCAGGTTTGTGGGCTCCCCTTTTTTTACCTCATTGGTAATTCAGGGAGCAGATGTGGTGAATCTGTTAATCAGCCTTACTGAATCTCCTCTGAGGGTAGCCCTTGGTCTGTCCATTGCACCCATCAATGATTCCAGATTTAGCTGTGTTGCTTTTAATAGAAGGCTGGGCTTGTTTTCTTTTTGTTTTAGTGTTTGACTATCCAAAGGTTGAAAATAGAAAACAAATGCAATAAATGCATATATCATAGTTGGCAAATTTTAAAAGCCTCTTCAGAGTAATGCAAGTATTTTGCTTAGAAATGTAGGGAATGTTTTTTCTTCCTCTCCCCCTGCCCAGTGTATGTTAAGAAATACACTTTCCTCTATAAACCTCTTTTGGTCAGGTCCTAATGGCACTTCCTGTAGAACAAATACTTTGTTCAGAGACTTACAAAGCTTTCTGGCAGCATGTCACAGAATCTTCCTTTTCCCATCCCTTCTTATCTAGTATGTAAGCATTATGTTAATTTTTAAAGTTCATTTTAAAAGACATTCTGAATTTCTACATAGTGTTACCAACAAAGAAGGAGGTATTTTAAATGCAAGTAAGCCAGTTCAGAGTCTAGTCCCTTACTTCAACTTCCTAGGGAAAGATAACAGAGCTGGGTTTTGCATTGATTGTTTGGAAGTCCTCCGTCCTCCAGAAATCCATGAAAGCATTTTCAAAAGCAGCAAGTGATTCAGTTGACACAATTGTGAGTCCTAAACCACCTCTAAAATGTTTATAAGTTGTGAATGAATGCCTTAGACATTAAATGAGTAGAAACATCAAGTCTGTTCTTTCCTATCCATACTACTGTCATCACCAGAGCTTCCATGAGTATAGAGCAAGCTCAAGAGTGTCCCCACCTTTTTTTCTCTTATATATAGCCACCAGATACAATGATGCCAAATATAATTTGAGTCCACAAATGCATTCTACAGAAACTTCCTTTATTTGCTGTCATAAACTCCCCTCCTTCCCCTGTCTTCAGACCCTCCTTTTTATCCCCTATTTCTGGTGGAGCTGAGAGCTGCCCCCTAATCAACTGAAAATTGTGGAATGGCTTGAAATACCAGTTGAAACAATGCAGATCCTTAGGTTGCATGTGATAATAGTTCTTGTTATTTTGTTCTTTGGTGGTGATGCTGGATGTGTTTTTGTTGATACACAGTAAGCTATTCATAACATCCATTAATTGGCAAAATTTATTTCTGTTCATGTTCTTTACTATGTAGTCTGAAGTGTCTGAATGCTTGAATATAACCTTTTTTCTTTTTTTACTCCTTCCTTCTCTAACTAGGCTGACAATTAATGCTGAATGTTATCTTCAGCTTCATAATTTTCCTATGGATGAACACTCCTGTCCTCTGGAGTTTTCAAGCTGTAGGTGGTAAAATACTTTTTTCTCTTTACATTCAGGCTTTAAATTTCCTTAAATTCTGGCATTAGGAGAGTAAATATTTACTTTTTAAAGCCTTGCAGTGAAGGAAAGAACTGATCCATTCATATTTTGGTTAGATTTATTGCATTATTTAAGGCAAGAATGAATGAGTTGAATTACAAGCATTTTGTGCAACTTTAAAAATAATCCTATTGCTTAGGAATCTGACAGAATGCCCATTTCAGTTAATGGGAAAGCATTGCCCTGGAAGAACTTTATTTTTTTTGCCTGCAAGGTTTGGCAGTGTTGAATTAGTTCCATGTGGTACACTTGAAAGGAAAAATAAGATCTATCTTCTTCAGCCTGTTCCTGTAAATGCTTAATGAGTATAAGAAGTTCTTCTTCTTTCAGTGGGACTTATTTTATGTGAGCAAGAAACACAACTTTCAGGCTCCATTTTTCTGATATAAACTATATTTAAAAAAAAAAAAATCCTAAGGGAATTGTGCTATTAAAATCACAGAATCCCTAAAGTTGGATAAGACCTCCAGGATCATCAAGTCCAACGTTTGACCAAACACCACCATGTCAACTAGACCACAGCACTAAGTGCCATGTCCAGTCATTTCTTGAATGCCTCTGGGGATGGTGACTCTGCTACCTCCCTGAGCAACCTCTTCCAGTGCTTAACCACCTTCTCACTGAAGAAATTCTGCCTGATACCCAACCTGAACCTCTCCTAATGCAGCTTGGGGCCATTTCCTCTTGTCCTGTGAGATGGGGCTGGCATCCACCTTGCTACAACTTCTTTTCTGGAGGTCTTACCTGAGCCATCAATAGAATTTTGTCAAAATATGTTCTAAAGTGTCTGTCCTTTTAAGCTCTTTCTGATAATTTCATGGTAATGTAAATTGCACTTGTGTATTAATTTATAGTAATGATTCTGAGCCAAGTTTTCATACTGGAGTTCAAGAATATCATGTAGATATTTCCAAAACATTTGTATTTACATAGTTGTTTATTGATCATACATTTAGCTAAGCTTAAAACTGAGGCCTGATATTTTGTGGTTAAATTTTAAGTGTATCAGGTGAACTACAAATTGTCTCTGATCCACGTTATGTATAGCCCTGGTTTAGTTTATTAGTAACTTCAGATATCACAAAACATGCTTTGGTATGTTCTGTGGCTAAACATTTGATTTGTTTTGTTTTGTTCTAGATGGATATCCCAGAAATGAAATTGAATACAAATGGAAGAAAACCTCTGTGGAAGTGGCAGATCCAAAATACTGGAGATTGTATCAGTTTGCATTTGTAGGGTTACGAAACACAACTGAAATTTCTCATACCTTGTCTGGTAAGGCAAAGTGTTATTTTGTGCAAGGTCAATATAGAACAAGACTAACAGATGTAGACACAACTGAAAACCATGTAAAATATAATGTCAATATTTTTATTTTTCATTTTTAGGTGACTATATTATTATGACAATCTTCTTTGATCTCAGCAGACGTATGGGATATTTTACTATTCAGACATACATTCCTTGTATACTCACAGTTGTTCTTTCATGGGTGTCATTTTGGATCAATAAGGATGCAGTTCCTGCAAGAACTTCTCTGGGTAAGAATGTCTTTTTTTCAACCTTGAAGGGTCTGGTGTTCCCCAAAAATCTACAGCGTGGAGTAAATCAGTCACAATTTATTCCCCTTCAGTTTTGACTCTTGGTCATTCTTTTTCTTGAACTGCAAGATTTGGAGTAGAAGAATCCTGCTATGGCTGCACAGCAGAGCTTAAGGAGGGAATGTTGAGCATGGAAATCACTGTGGATCTGCTGTTGTTCACACAAATATGTTTTTTCTCCTTTATGTTCTTTTTGTCACCACCGGGGACTGCAACATGGCACTTATCTGTCTGACACTCAGTGTGCCTAAACTTCACTCAGTGTCATGGAACAATTGACGTCATTTCTATAGGGGTGTAAATTGTGAATATATGGTTTTGGTGGTGGATTTTTTTTAATATTTTTTGTTGGGGTTTTTGTGTTGTTTGTTGTTGTTGATGGTTTAACAATAGAAATTATTCAGTTATTCTTTTAAGCCCAGGATAGGGCAGAAAGTTTGCAACCAGACTCGTACGTCATGCGGTTAAGCGTATAACACATAAGAACTGGCTCACTGTCCTGCTTTTACTACAGACAGTGCTGAAGTGTGTTGCAAGTTCCAGTACAGAGACACTTCTGTGTTCCTGTCATCTTGGCTGACCTGCTTAGCATGGTGTCAGTCTCCTGAGTTTGACTGTTTAGGATTCCTGTGCAGCCTTAGAGAAAAGTTTTAGTCGCCTCATAAATCATGATAGACGTGGTGCATGGAGTGCACAGGACATACACAAGCAACTTTGAGCTTAAAAGTGACAGATGCTTATAGTAAAACTGGTGACAGCAGTATGACCTATTTTGGAAGAAAGATCGAGAGCTGAGAGTGTATCTTAGGAAGTGAGAGATGTGGGTTAATTTTTCATGATCATTATGCATTACATCATTATTCATTTAACATTATGAACATGCCATTCACACATTATAGGATCATTTACTACCAGAGAGGTAGTGCTGCAAAGTTCGGTGAAGAGATCCCAAAGTCTTAAATAAATAAGTGAAATTAACTTTTGGTAGTTTTAGACCTTGATATAGAAATCTCTTGTCAGATTTCTTTTACCGACTAGTCGTTGGACATCGTTATGGGTTCTGACTAGCTATAAGACACTAGATATAACAGGAAAAACTGTTGTACTGGTATCCTGCTAGTTCTGTATCCAGTTTGTTCTTTTTACAGAGTACTTTTTATATGCCATGAACCTAGAAAATTTGCCTTTGATGTCATGGTTAAGCTGAAGTTTTCAAGCTCTCACTTCAGCAGTACTAACCTTCATCTACTTGAGATGAACTACAAACGTTTGCAATGTCTTATTTACAGCTCCCTGCAGGTAACTGTGAGTTCCTTCTGTGTGAACATGCAAAAGCCATAGTTTGACAGATTCTAGGATGACTTTTCTCACGTGCAAGTGTTCTGGTGAAGGAGAAAGAGAGTACCTGTCAAGTAGACACATTTTTATAGAAAAAGACTGAGAAATTAAGGCAAGAAAAGCAAAACTAAGCAAGGTCTATTATGCCAAGTAGCTGTTGTGCTGTAGAAGGTTTGCTCCCTGTGACAGCCCCCATATATGCCTTTCACATGGCAGGGAGGACTGGGAAAATCCACATCTCTTTTTGTCCTCTCTGAAGAGAAGCTGGTGCAGGGAACAGTGGGTGCAACTTTTCCCCTGGAGGCTATGCCGGGGTCTGACACACTGGAAAGGCTTGGGCCTTTTTCTTCCATATATGTTGAAAGATCTTGGCAGATTACGTTTCCCAAAGCTAAATATCTGAGATGATTAAAGGTATTTAGATATTTAAACATACAGAGAAATGCCTAATTGATTTCCAAAGTACCTATTGGGAGTGAAGCACTTTTGAAGAACTCTGCAGTTATCTGTTTGCCCTTTTAGGCGAGTAATTTCACTGGGAAATCTGTTACAAAATCACTGCTGCCTTCCTGCTGCAGGAGTAGACCATAGCGACCACTGATTCCATGCTTTGATTTATAAGCCATAGACAGCCATAGACTGGTGTAATGCATTATTTTTTAATAATCATGTGCATTTAAATAACAAATTTGTGTGTTCAAGTATTGCTCTCCAAAGGAAAGGTCATATCCTAATTTTGGACTATGATGAAAAAGGCTTTGCATTTGCCTGAAAAATCAAATATAAGAAGACAATGTTAACACTTTACAAATGCTAAACCAGTGAAGAGTGGTATAGCTGAGATTTTGAACATATTGCCATTAAGGCCAGCTGGTTCCTTTAATTAACTTGTATGTAAGTGAAACAAGAAAAACATTTTCTATTACTTAAGGCAGAGTATTGAAAACATATCTATTAACTTAGAGTATGAGACCAGAAAGGCCATGAAGGTCATCTAATTTATCTACTACATGTCAGAAGCAAACAATTGGAAACATTTTTCATTTTTCTTATGTTTACCAGAAGTTTGAAATCATTAAAAATTAATACATCTTTTTTTCTGAATGCATCCTTTTTTACATTTTAATCTTTCAAGAGCTAAAGTTCCTTCTTGTGTTTGTAAAACGTGTGCTTATTTGTACCTGTTTTTCTATTGTATTTGTTTTATATGTACATTTTATGACAGATTTATAAAATTGCACAAACTTTCTCAGTGTCACTGTTTATTCAATGTATGTCGAACACAGAAGGGATTTAAAGGGAAGGTAAAATGTGCTGACTTCTCTGTGATCCCATGGTGGCTGCTGGATCCATAGGGATGGCTTCTTGCAATAGTATCAATGCATGTGGGTGTAATCAGTGATGAACCCTGCTGGGTTCAGTTCCTATATGCCTCATTAATGAATTAAGGGCTAATTTAATGACTCTTTTCTGACACTGTCATTGTATTACTTAGACATTTCTTCTTCCTGTCTTTTTTTCCCTCTCTTTCTTTCTCAAACAGGCATCACAACAGTGCTGACCATGACAACGCTGAGTACAATTGCCAGGAAGTCACTCCCAAAGGTTTCCTACGTGACAGCAATGGACCTTTTTGTCTCAGTTTGTTTCATTTTTGTGTTTGCTGCCTTGATGGAATATGGCACCTTGCATTACTTTACCAGCAACAGAAAAGGGGACAAAGGAAAACAAAGGAAGACAAAATCTAAGCCATCAGTAAGTTTAGTTAAACAAGAAAAAAAAAAAAAAACAAAACACCACAGAATACTTCTTGTTGCAGCATTTATTTTGGACAGACTGGTTCTTAAGTAGAAAAGCTAATGTTCAAAGATAATTAACACTAATATTTATTTTGTAATTGCTTTACAGGTGGGGGCTTGCACTTATTTTCTGTAAATAGTACTAGTGAGCAAAGGTTTTTAAATCTTTTCACTCTTACGTGAATGAGAACACATCAGCTTAAGATGGAGAGTGGTTTGATATAGTACTCCATGCCCTTACTTCCTCCCACTAGAGAAATTTTACCTTAACTCTTTTTTAAATTTGCTTCCATGTTTCTTTCTGTTAATGAAAATGTTAAATGAACTGTTAACGAAAAAGTTAAATGAACTTTCTGCTTTTACAAGTTGATGTTCATATGGTGTAAATCCCTACATATCTCAAGATCAAGCATTATTCAGTTTTAAGAGGCCTTCTGTTTCTGTAGTAAGAATATTGGAATTTCCAATGAATCTATTGTTGGGAGCCAGTACAAATATTTAAAGGTAGTCCTTAAACTAAGAAAACATAGAGATAAGTCCATTAAATAGCTTATTCATTTAAACGTTAGTCTTAATGTATGAGGATTGATTGTAGTCATTTTATGGAGAGAATAAGAACAAGGACAATATTATAAAGCCCCCTTCCAGATCATTTCCATCAAAGGGAGCAGGAGCATAGCTGAATCATAATACCAATTGTCTTTTCTTGATGAAAGTTGAATACCACCTGTGTAAGATGAAACTGAAATTTATATGAAATTACAGAAGCCAGGATATAGAAATACAAAACTCCTATTATGCTATACCTGTTCTGAACTCCTGTCAGGAAGAACTGGTGCACCCATTCTGAGCAGCACTGCTGTGGGACACTGTCTTATGGGTGCACTGAGAGGCTGCTAGGGCTTAACGCCAGGGGAATGAGAGCCCTTGGGTTTCATGGGGTGATCTGATCCAAGTGGAATAGCTGTTTTTAGGACAAGGCTACTGGTGAAGGGTTAATACTGCCCTGTGCTGCCTTGATCAGACATCGCTGTGATCCTCAGGGAATCCAGCACAGACAAGAGAACTGGAAAATGGAAACCTCAAACCTCCTTCCTGTTGGTAGAAACAAATGTGAGCACAATGGAAGGGGCAGAACAGAGGCTTTGGCAAGGGCCACAGCTGAGCAGTGAAGGTGAAAGGTAGTAGAGGTTGAAGAATGTGGGGGCTTCCCAGTGTTAGCACAGCAGATTCAATTTCAGGTTGATGTTGCCATGAGGTCTCCACAACACTCAGCTGAATAGGTCCACTTTCAGCATGCACAACACAGAGAAGAGGAAGATGGGAGGAAGGACTGGTTTGCTCAGACCAGGGAGATATTAAAGATCAGCTGCTGACAAATTAAAAGACATTGAAGTAATTTGCAAGTACACTCATTTGAATGGAGTAACGACACTTTCCAGGATCTGTTCACACATCAGCCACTTGTGCAATAATCTGCCAAGTGCTTTGATATTTTCAGTGCATATGAAAATTTAAAATGTAGAATTATGATGAGATGGAAACTATGAAACTTACTGAATAAATAGCTGGAACTTGCACTAAGTTTGAAATTAGCAATATAATGCTCAAAATACTGTTCAGTTGTGTTTTACTGGGTTCTTAAAGCATGCTTTTTATTTCTAAGTAGTTGAGAAAGAAATTTTTTCACACAGAATACTTTAAACATGTTCCAACATGTTATGGCTATAGGACCATAATAGATACAGAGATTACCCTAAAAAAAAGAAGAATTAAGCTTAATATACTTAGATGCAACGATTCTAATTTGGTAAATAGGGGGATTTTGGTGATGTTTTATAAAAAGCCATAAAATTTCTTGTTTCAAATAAATAAAGAAGCTATCTCATTAGTTAATGAGAAGTCATACAACTACAAATCCTTTACTTATTTTTTCTTTTTATTTCTCCCATTATTTTTGTCAAAGACTTTTATTAATTCTTTTTCTCTTGTAGTTTTGGGTATGTAAGTCAAAGAAACAATTTAATTTAAAAAGTGAGTTTAATTTCTTCTGAAAAGTTCTCATTTACAGGTGTTTTTTCCTTGGAAAACTTGCCTTGTATAGATCTTCTATTTCTACTGCAAAATGCAATAAAAGCCCATTATTCCAGGGACTAATGCCAGTAAGACACAATAAATGATCTTGTGAAAAAAAAGGTGAGATTTTACAAATGATTACAGCAGTTTTATCTTAGAGTATATGTTTTGGCATCATTTAAGAAAGGTAGTATGATTTGGCTTATGCAAATCCACATTAGTAAAGATAATGAGTTTGGGCAGGAAAGATTAAACTTAATTAGTTGTGGATCTTGTTCTGATCATCATTTCAGCTGAAGTGAATGCATCACCTTAGCTGATCTCCACAGACAATAGCTTTCTTTTGTACATGTATTAGTGTTATTGCAGGATAATTGGAATTTGATCCTATCAGAATGGATTATAAATGCTTACCATGACACATGAAGTTTTATCTACAGTGTCAGTAGGCATGTACAAAAAAATCAGCATGTACTACTGTACCTACATGTTGAGGGTGTTTTGTTGGTTTTTTTTTAGTCTCTGCCAATGGGTATAAAGTCCTTTTCTTGTGAGGTCTTTTTTCCTCTTTTCACTCACATTGCCTCTTCCTTAAACACATTTTATATATTTCCTGTAGGTAGTTGAGCCTATAACAGGACCATGTCTGCCACTCTCAAGCCACCTCTTCAAACCTGTAATTCAGTAGGCACCTTCAGTCTGTGCAGGTGACATAAGCAGTGAAAAGCAGTACTGTGATTTTTACCTTCTTCCGTGGTGTTTCTGTGTTGGGAATTCCTGTTTTACCCCAGTAGAAACAACTCATGCCACAGATCTTACATGGGCAGAACTAACAGTCAGAAAATTCTCGTAATGCCAGATTATGCATGAATCAGAATTAAGCATCTTTCCCTATTTATCTTCAATAGAATAATACTTTTTTTCAGTTAAAAAAATTGAACTTATTTTTTATGTTTTATAAAAGTAAGCCCTTTTTGCAATGCCTAAAATTAGGATAGAAGCACGCAATTCATGTTTGTTAGTATTGCCAGTATTTTATCATAACTGAAAGAATAATGAGGTCCTTTAGGATGATAATTAGCTCCCTAGGTCATCATGTGTAATAAGTGTTGAAACAGCAGTCTGTGTGAAACTTTCTCCAGTAAAGACACTTATTAAATAAAACTGTTTGAAAACATAGTGGATACTGCACTGCATTAACATTATCCCTTGGGATATTGGGTAAAATGTCCATGCAGCAATAGAATGCCTCCTTAACAATGTATAGAGATCTGTGCACTAGCCAAAGCTATTCCTATGAAGTGGGACCACAGATATGAAGTGTATCAAGAAGCTAAATTATGTGACTTCCCACTTTTCATATTTTTTCATATGTTTGCGTTGCCTATCATGTATAATTTGTTAAGAGGACTTATTCTTTACACTTAAATACCCAGTTAGATCTTCTCACTACATCCTTTCCTGCTGTATTTATTCCTTACATGACAAAATATGAAGATAGTAGAAAAGAGAAAGAAAGGCTAAGAGTAGTGTCAATGTAACCCCTCTCTTTGGTTCTGAAGATTTTGGAAGAGATACCAAAGGTGGGGTGGGGAGTAGGAGAGGGAAGTTGAAAGGAAGAGGATTGTGGATTAGTTTGAAAAGACCATGAGATTCAGAAAGAAGGAAAAAAAGGATAGAGAAAGAGAATGTCTTCTGAAACATTCAGGAAAACAAGGATGATGAGTAAACAACTGCATAGAAACAAAATAATAAAAGAGGGAAAGGTAGATTGTGATAATGGAAGTAAAAGGAAGATGAAAAGGCAAAAGTCACAAGAAAGGGAATAGCAAACACTGTATGTACTAGGTAATAAGGCACACAGATTTTTTTCTATGAGAATTATCAACATCTATTACACTGTTTTTGTTGGATTGCAAGAGGGTTGTTGTGTCCACAGAAAAATGAAAGTAAGAATTAAGAGCTTAACTAATCAGTTTCAGCGACTTGCATGGCATTCTCCTAAGGACTTGTGTCTTGGATTATAAAGGCGGGGGAACGTTGTTGAGGGATGTAATGTCAGAGGATTAGATGACATAGCCTTATGTGTTTCAGTCTGTTAAACTTCACCATGGATGCTGTACTAATCCCATTAGTTTTTTTCTGTTTGTGAAAATATAGTTTCCAGAAACATATCCAGTCTCATTTGTAAGATTCCAAATGATGGAAGGACTATCATTCCTTTGATAGTGATCATTATAGACTACTTGTGGACTTGGTTGTCAGTTGTCAAGCAGTGACTGACTTCAAAATGTTTGTCTGTGTTGTATAGATGGGGTCACAAATTCCATCACAACACAGTTTTCATTGTGGCAGGTAAAAATCATTCATGACCTTTTGCCTTCATGATATAATTATATACAGCAGTTCATAATTTGCTGTTTTCCTTTAATACTAGAATTTCTGTATATTAGAATTTTTATATATTGTACTGAGGGTGATTATGATGCTGTGGAAAACCTATGGAATTATCTAACGTGAGGATAAAAATGCACAATACTATATTTTTCTTTTTTTTTTTTTCCTTAAGAAACCTCCTGCAATTGCTGTTCGACCTGGATCAACACTAATTCCAATTAATAACATTAATCATCTCCCTGAACGTGATGATGATTATGGATATGAGTGCCTTGAAGGAAAAGACTGTGCTAGCTTCTTTTGTTGTTTTGAAGACTGCCGCACAGGATCTTGGCGAGAAGGAAGAATACACATCCGTATCGCAAAAATTGACTCCTATTCTCGAATATTCTTTCCCACTGCCTTTGCATTGTTTAATCTTGTTTATTGGATTGGCTATCTTTACCTATAAATTTCAGATTTGACAAACTCAGAAAAAAATTCTAATTGAATAGTCATTAATAGTTTTAACTGAGCAATCAAAGATTAGAGCTGGTCCAAAATTACTCAAATTGTAATGCTTTAAAAACTTGAAACAATGAGAGGAAATATGATGATGTAGTCTCCCTCTTGTGATCAACTATAGAACTGATACTGGTATTTTGAGGAGAAAATTTAAAAATAAATATCCCTAAGACTTATCTTTCCTTAACACATGTGCACACAGTTTTTTCCAGCTCTAAGAAAATGCAGAGTCAAGAGGCTATGTTATTTAACTGGACAGTTCTACAGGAGCTTTCAGTTTTAATCCTTAATAATAATGCAGAAGGATTTTTGTAGCATCTCTTACACCTTTACAAAGAAAGCCTTAATAAAATGGGATTAGTTAGTCTCATCCATTTCATCCATAAGGTGATGATTTTATTAATCCCTGATTTTAAAAAGTTAAAATGTAACATTTCCCTTTTCAACCTGCAGTATTTCAAAAAGTATGAGTAAGTCATAATTAATCAATTCAGATTTATACAGAATACAGATGTTAGAGCAGCAAGAAATGGATATATCAAAACACCCAAGGGCAATTCTGAGCTTGTCTTATCCTGACCGTTGATAGAGGCTTTTGGCTTTCAGCCTTAGATTACATTTATGTCTGTTCTTCATCTACTGTTACTTCACGGTTGTGAGTTCCCCAAAGTTGTCCAAGAAGGCTACAACATTCAAAAATTCTTACCCAGCTGCCATTGCTTGCTCATTTCATGGAAAACAGACTGGTGTTGGCTGAGATTCTGGACATTAAACATAGCCCTTCTCATCCTCTCATTTGTCTGATTCATACTCAGTGCCAGAGAAAAAGTAATACCTCTACATTTGGTAGAATTTGTATCAAAAGAGTTTGGAAAACCTGTAACAGTGCTGTAGTCACTGTACTCAAAGCCACTGTGTTAACTCCCCAGTCCCAAGTTTGTAGCGAGTGCTCTGCTCCACTGTGCATATAGTATGATTTTGTAGATTCTGTTTGTTACTGCACATGCTGCTCACTGAGCCAAAGCCAAGTGGTATTAATTTACTGAGCCTGTGGTATGGATTGCTGAGTAATTACCTTCTTGATATTTGTTTCTTTCTAATGGAAAAGTCATGTTATGGAGAGGGAGTTAAAAGAATCCTTATGCATTGTAGATCCTTCTCTAGGGATGCATCCCACAAAAAAATCATAGGACCAGCTCTCCATCCTTTCTGTGGTCAGAGCTTTTGATCACTTTGGTAGCAATGCTTCAGCAGTAGCCTTTCCGGACTGCCTTCTCTGTGTTGACTGTTGCTGGCTGGCAGCATTTTGTATTTCATTTCTATTTCTAAACCCATTGTTTTCATTATAGAAAAGTGCAGTCTTTTCTCCATTCTCGAAAAGAAACCAGTCTCAAGTGAGCTTGCAAAAATCACTGTAAAATGAAGATATGCATTAAGTAAAAGCCAACATTACACTGAAGACCTTACAGATCTTTAAAGAGGATTAATGGGATTAGCATTTGGCTATAGGTAAGGATGTTCAATACTAAAGATAAAGACATGATTAATAGCTAAGAATAAAAAATGTTACATGAAAAGCCCCCTCCCAATATTTCTGTTAAATGTGCTCCCTCCTCTGAATTTCTCAGAAAAGATTAATGTACATTTTTATTCTAGTTTGTACCAGGCATAATAAGATATGATATACAATATGCATTTCAGAGTTACTGTTGTGTTCAGCCCCAAAGTTTAATAGAGAATGCAAGACTGTGCAGTCACATTGGAAGGAAGTGTGAAAGAAGATCGAAGTTTAATAAAAACTTTATTTCAGTATTTATCTGATGAAATACAAGAGTGATTGAGAGAATCTGAAGGCCCACTGTCAAGGATGGCTGACACTGTTGTGTGACCTTTCCAAGTACCAACTTCTGACTGTTAGACTAAGCGTAGAAATGTGGCATGATTATCAACACTGATTTGCTCTAATTTATTGGGTTTTAGAATCTCACTTTCAGAAAATGTTCAGTCTAATGGAAATTTGTCAGTTTTAATTCCATAATGTGGTTTGATGCTTTTTGACAGCACACTAAACGCATCCTTCTGTAGGTGGGACGAATGTGGCATCAGCAGCATGTTGGATGTGTACTTGAAAAGCAGTCAGCTTGCTGTACAATACAAGACACAGATTTTGTGAGCCCCTGAGTTTCATTAATTCACCTTTAAACAAAAGAAACTTGAAAGAACTTGGCACTTCACAAGAGGAAATACATATTTCACAGCCTGCTCTCCTCTGGCACATCTAGTTAGCTTTTTCTATTCATGTGGTTGTCAGTTGCCAATCAGCCTCCAGTGACTGAATTGGAGAACAGAAAACATCCAGAATTGGCAAGGGATGGATAAGAAGTCTTTCATCTCTAATTTCTATGAAACAATGTAATGGAGTATTAAACCTATTGAATGTTATGGCTGTTTGGCTTATGGATACACTTGCTTCTGTCTGTTGACAAACTTTTCTGTGTACTTCATTTGTTTCTGATGAAGTAATTTGAGTTTGCCATAGTACTGTGAGTGCAAACAGAAATGGGAACGTAGTGAACTGTAACATGGTATGTAATAAATGTGTTATTTTAGTCCTATGTATTTTCTTTCTAATCAGCATGTAAGCACTTAATTCCAAGAAATCTAAGTGATACTCAAAAAAATGGCAAGGAACAGACAGTATAATTACTTGGACCTAGATGCCACAATCATTTTTCAAACTTTACCGGATAAAAGGTTGTTTACTGTTAGCTGGGATCACAGTATTTTGGAGTCATATTATTCTGACTATCATTGCGTAAGCACATGCTTAAACCTAGTTCTAGTCAGTAGTGCTATTAGACCAGAATTCAGAAAAGCAAGTGCTTATGTACTGTCATATAGAGTGATGCTACCGTGAATTGAGGCCATTAACACATGCTTAATTTGCACTAATTTCAATAATGAGTGTTGAGTAGCTTAAATAATTGAACATTAAGGATGTGAGCCAGAGCCTTTTTTAAGTAAGAGATTTTCTTGCTGAAAGAGAGGTCTTAAGAGGAGAAATTGCCATAAAGAGGGGGGAAAAATTCTGGGGAAGCTGTTTTATACTGCACCTATCTTAGGCATCTCTTGAAATGTATTTATCAAAAAAGAGACTCTTCCTTGATATTTCTGTATTAGTGTTTACCACTTGTCTGTTTTAGTAGTGAGTACAGAGCAGAGTGTTATTTTTTGGTAAGGTTCTGTCTATGATTGTACCTCACTGATCTGCAGTGCATGTCTTTCGTGTCTGAATGAATCTGTTTTTATGTAGTGGCAGTGCAACCAAAGCATGAGCTCTGGGTAACATATTTTATACTCACATGTTGATGTGCTTCAAAGACTTTAACCTTATCCAGTTTTCTGACATTCAGAGATATAGGATTGTGTAAGACTTTGAAGGAGAATCATCTCCAACATGGTTTTTGTAATTTTCTGTTGTTTATCTGGTATAGTAGTAAAACATTTGTTTAAAATTGATATATGAAATGTGCTTTGTAATTTGCGGACACCTTTGACCTTACAATTGAAAACCCAACAGGAGGAGTCTGGATTTAAAGATCTATCTCCCTAAAGTAAAACATGTTTTGCTTAATTGCATAAGTCATCGTTTCAGTTTACTTTTTCCAAATATCTGAGAACTAGGCCAAATATATTTTTTAAAAAATTGATCGTTAATCTAATTATTTTTTGAAATTGTAGTTTTAGTTATACATTAAATGTGATCTTTTATGTTTGTGAACTGTATTTTTTAGTCACTATAATAGATAGAGAAAATAGAAACTTATGTAGAACTCCTCAGCTGAAAAACAAAAAGCCAGGGACTAGAAAGAATTACTGTGCTTCCATTCCTGAAAAAGCTCAGTGGATGTCCACGTACCCCAGTGAATGTACTGGCAGGGGGAGAGACTGACTTAAAGGGAGAGGTAGAATAGTCTCCAGAAAAGAGAGGCCTTTGCATTGGTTCATGCCATGGATTTGCTACCCAAGTGGCTCAAATTGAGGAAAGGAATGGATCTGGCCTTTTGTTTTTTCAGTGATCTCTGGTTTCTGATTAATTTCTACCAGCAACAGTAGTTCTAATACTGTGTTACCAAATGAATCAAAACCTGAAAAATCATCTTTATTTTATTCTTTATTACGTTAGTGTTTCAGCCAGATGGGTGGGATTATCTAGTGAAGGTGCAAGACTGCGACCAAATTTTGCTCCAAGACAGCTGATGGGAGCTTGCAGCTAGAGGCAAAAGGATGGTTTCTTATAATAGGCATATTTCATTCAGTTGAGAATCTGCTCTGAAAACTGTTGAGGAGGAAAGGAAAAGATGGAATGAGGTAAAGATTGATGGTGATAGTGATCCTAGAATCAAGTTGCATAGATCTGACTGACCTATATTTAGTTGATAGATTTCTCACTGGAATTTGTGATAATGTTCTTGATTTCCCTGCAACATAATTAAATACTTTTAATATTAAAAAAAAGAAGAAAATACTGTACATTTCCTATACATTACTTACAGACTGAATGAGCAATAAAAAGTTGTCTTGAGTGATCATTCTGGTTAAATGTCAGACTCAAAAACAGAGATCAGGTTAGATCTGAAAAATATTATCTTTTTTTCTTCCTTTTATTATTAATGATAAACTGTTTTTAAAATTAGGGAGTACTAATTCTGGGAAAGGCCTCGTACCCATATGTCTACACAGCTGTAAGTCCCTTTGAGGGTAGAAATTTTTTCTCAGACTACTTTCAGTCATTGAATCAGAGAGTGCGTAAGGTGGATTGTAATCATGCCAGGCATGAACTAGGATAGCTGGTGTACTCCAGGGAGGTTGGTAACAGTTTCTGGTTAAAAGGGTGATTTCTACCTGAGAGACTATAATTTGAAACAGGGTACATGCTTCCCTTCAGAAGATGGACCTGTGCTGTTACTTCCAAAATGATGGAAGAGCATCCCTGCACTTAATGTTTATATTTGCACAGGAACAGTTTCAATGAGATGATTGCCCTGCTGTACAGCTCTGAGATATTCCTCATGTAGAGTATAGGAGAAGAGTTTTGGTTGCACTCCCGGGCAGGGTGTCTAAATCATGTCATAGGGCTCAGTGTTGTGGTTCTTGAGCTGTCTTTTGGATCTGTTACAATGCTAGTGAAAAGTCAGTAAATAATAAACTTTTGATTTTACTTGATTTACTGGTAAATCTCACTGAGAAAGCCAGAGAATTAACAAAGGCTTTAGAGGAAATCTTAGTTGGCCCTTGGAGAAAGGAGATTGGCTAAAACTTAAATAAGCCAAAGAATATAGCCCTTTTTATCACAGATGGGTCTTGTTCGCTAGCAATATATTGTTTCTAAAATAAGTGTAAAAGCTTCATGGTATCTTAAGGTGGGAAAAAAAAATTTGTGAAATTCTCATTCCCCTCCCCACTGACAAAACTTGCTTTGCCTGCAGATTTTGCTTAAGGTACATCAACATCACTTGAGCTGTGTGAGGAGAGCTGTGGGGGATGTAAGAAGACCTGTAAACTGTTCTGCCTTGTTCTTTCTCAGTTCCTTTTCTTAGTCAAGGAAAGAGGTTCAGAAGAGTAGGCATATGGCATATGTAAATGAGGACAATTTTGCTACTGAAAACAGAGGCTGAGTCCCACTATCTGACAGGATCGAGAGGGATGAGACTCTGCTTGCAGTAATAAGGCTTCTCTTTTGTAATTCTTTGTAGTAGTTGCTTTTCCATACATCACTGTATGCCTACCTGAGACTCAACTGTTTCAGGTTGGAAGCAATTCTTTTGTGTGTTTCTGGCTTCACAGAATGATATTTACCATCAGGGTTTGAGCCTTGCTGAATTCAAAAAGAAAGGTTTCCTCTTGAAGTTTCCTTGTCCAGGCATTGCAGGTAGGAGATGTCTTGCTGCCGGACATTGGAAAAGTGATTTTCAGTTGATCCTGCTGAGGAGACAGACTGGCTCTGTAGGGTGGCATTCAGATTCCTTTGTCATTTAGACTTGAGAAGGTTAAATTCTGTTAACAACAAAGACCAATACTGCCTGAACAGAAGATTTTGCCAATTAAATACTTATAAACAAACCCCAAAACTGTTACTGTGGGTAGGAAATGAGGATGAGTCATTATTTCACTTCAGATATATATTTCCTCTTGAATTGTTTTTCCTCCTTAGGAAGATGGTATATAGGAGTCTTTTGGCTTGTGAAATACATAAAAAATAGGTGATGGTAATTTTAAACAGGTAAAGTCATGTTAGTCCCTCTGCCCCCTGATGACATAGGAGCAGTAGCAATGAAGGTACTCACCCTAGGGCTCAGATTTTCCAAGACAAATAAACATGGACATTTACATATTCATAGGCCCAGTATTAGTATACAACCTATGTTCATGCTTTAGTCATTAAAAAAAAAAAGGTAATGATTTGTGCATCTTCACAGTATGTTTTATATTTCCCACTGTTGTCCACTGTGAATGCTTAGACTTTCTGTCTGAACATGAAAGGTTACATCATTTTACCTTTAAATACAATTTCAATTGCTGTAGAATATAAATACTTCCTTAAATGAAAAGGAGGATCAGAATCTGGCAATCATGATGATTCCTATCTTGAAAAATCTAATATTAATTTTTAATTACCATTTCAATTAAACAAATAGTATTTGTATTCCCCTTCATTGATGTTTTAGAAACAATTACAATTTATGGTCTAAACCCCAAATTTACAGAAATATCCTTCAAATATAACACTTGTTGATTTATTATGTGTCTCAGTATTTATTATATTGAGGTTCCAGTATTCAAATCCAGTCTTAATGCAAATCTCTGACTTGACATCTACAGTTCACGTAGTGTTTCAGTGACTCAGACTTTGCCCCTTACTAGTACATCCTTTTCTAGTACATTCAGTATTTTAAAAAATGATGGTATTTTTAACTGCCTAAGTGAACATTCATATAATTCATTTAATTTGATAGTGTTTTGGCACCAGTGGACAATTTTGCAATACTATGCATCAGTGTTCCTTTTGAAGTTATTTATTAATGCCCTTGTGGATAACTTACTGCAAGAAATATGGAACATTAAGATAAGTTTTGTAACCCTCTGTGCAGCTTCTAAGGTTTATACATAAAATACATGATATTGATTCAAATTTATTTTTCTGTTACAGTTTTTCTTCCAGAAACCTCCTCAACTGGGCTAATATTATTATTATGAGTGTGCTGATATTTACAGTTCTACTCAGTTATTTGGTACATTTCCAGTAGCCTTGGAATGTACTCATCCATTATTATATTCAATTACCTAGAAACATCAAGGTATCCTCACAGGATTTTAATGTGATTAAGCCATGACTTCTTCAGCCTCTCCTAAAATACCATAGTCTTTCATGTGGAGTACCAAAACTAAAGTATTTTCAGGTATCAAACTGATCGTTACCTGCCTCTCAGTTTTGACAGTGTCTGTCTGCCTGATTAGAGTGAAACACTGATATCAACATTTTTATATTTGACAACATTATTAATGAGCATGGCTGAACCAGAAGACTTTAGATGATAAAAAGATGATGCTCTTGGCTAAATTCCATATATATAAGACTTTATGAGTGTGATAAAAATTACAGTGACAATGACATACGTATATATATCCATCTGTAGATCAGAAAACAAGATATAAAAACTTTTATATATATGCATCAGCTTCTGATTGTCATTTTAACAAGCTTCCACCCCCTCCTAAAATTTGTGTTCTAAATGTGACCAAAATGGTCCAAAAAAACCATCCAAATTTGCACAGTCAGAATGTAGAAGTGATTGAGAAGCCTGAAATAATTATGGCTCCATTTGATGGGTCTTGTGGATTCATTTTTAATTTAACTCCTTTTTACTGAAGAAGAAAGAATACAAATGTTGTGATTGATCTAGACATTGATATCACTAAAGGTAAATAAGAAAATATCCTCAGTTGATTTATATATATATATATATGCCTATATATAGGTAGAAGCAAATTTCTTTAGTGCTGAGGAAGTTGCTGTGATTGCATTTGCAGAGTAGATGGATTCTGTTTTATATTTTCAGAACTCTGCTGGTACCACAGTAAAAAATTGACACAGAGTTTAACGTTTCTTAGTATACTCTTAGCTTTTGGATGCCTCATTTTCTTTTGTGCAGTTTAAGACATTAATGAAAAAGATCTACTTTTCAAGTGTTTAACCCTTTCTTAAAATTATCCCTTGAGCTTTCAGTTTAGAAATGAAATTTCTAAATTTAGGAATTTACTCCAAAAATGAGTAACTAGGCATGACTGATACTATTTTAAATAAACTAAATTGCTAAAGAATAGTGCAGAAAGTGCAAATATGATTCAAGGCTAGAAATTTGCAGCCTTTTGAGGGAGTTTTCAATTTGTTCTCTTAAGTTTCTTGAGATCTGGGGAGATGTGAAAGCAAATGGAGGGATTTCACCCTATGGTTGTTTGGGGTTTTGTTTGTTTGTTTGTTTTCAGCAGTGTAACTAATGTAGTTTAGTACATCAGCTGCTAAAAGGTGATTTTATTAGAGGTAAAATGAGGCTTTGAGACTGATAACAGAAATAATATTAAAAGGCTCAGAAAGGAACTGCTTGTGGCACTCATTATCACAAAGGTCTTGGTTGCACAAGGCTTTGGAAACTGAATTTCTGAATTAAGATTATAGGAGAGCTGGATTATAAGGATTTCTAGAAAAAAACAAAATTTCAGAAATCTCTTGCCAAGAGAAGACTGATAGTGTTTTGGTGGATAGGTTTTAGAGTTCGTTACTCTAATGTGAATATTAATGTCTATTGAATTTTCATGTAAATGTTGCACTAGTCCTTGTGCATTGAATGGAAATGTGCTTGCACCCTGGTGCATGGTTCATACAGATGTTCCTGAGACGTAATCTTCAATCTTCTAAATGTAAAACTCTGAAAGCCATAGTCTTAAAAAATAAAAATAAATTAAAACCCCACCATTGAGTAATGTGTTCTGTGCAAAACAAACAGTTTAGATGTTTGTGCTCCGATGTCTCTTAAACTGATAAGAATCAAGAGAGTTTCAACACAACTTTGTAAAACAATTGTAGTGCATTGTTTTTACTGTATCTGCTGTGAAGTTGATTAATTACACTGAAAAAATAAATAGTGCCTGGTTACTTACTTTCTTTTATTATTTATTTTCTACATGCCATACGTTCTGTTCTCTTTAAGACAATGATGATAATGGTCATTCTGGTGAAAATAGTTTTATACACTGCTTTGATAGAGAGCAATGGCCTTATTTGCTTTATTTTCTTCCTTTCCCCCTTCTTTCCCCTGCTCTTTCCTTCCTTTGTTAATAATGTAAATAGAATATTATTCATGTAATAGAAATAAAGCTCTGGAGATAAAATTCCACTTTTATCAGCCATTTTGCTTGGGACCAGTTTTACAGCTAACAGATGTCCTGCTTATTACTGACAGGAGGGGTGGTCCTGCTCTCCCACACAACCCTTTCACTCCTGTCAGCTCTAGTGCTTGGCTAATCCTGCTCTCTTTCCTCTTCCAGAATGCCTCATGGCCATGATGTGTGGCTCCCTCTTCTTTATCCTGTCACTTTAAAAAAAAATTTTAACATTCTGTTTATTAGATGTGCCACAGGCAAAGGAGCAGGGCTCCTGCTAAAAGCAAATATCTGGGGGGAAATCACTCCTTGTTATTTTCCTAAGATACATTCTATTCTTTGGCCTTACTGTCCCACTGGAGGATCTGCCTGTAAGTGTTACCTTCCTCATGCAGTCAGTCCCACAGAATGTTTTTAATTCATTCTAAACTGAGTGTGAAAAGGTGATGAAGGAGGGATGCCTCTGATAGTTCTGGAAAATGCCACAGATTTCTGCAGTCTCTTACACATCCTTTTCAGATTAAAGTTAGGGATCCCAGCAATACCTACATTTCCTTTAACATTTTATGTTCTTTTTTCCCTGATAACTATCTCTGATATTGTCTTGCCAGCTGTTACTTAAATTATTAAGATTACTTAAGGTATAATAGAATCTATTTAGGTTTTGGGGTTTTTTTTCAAACTGTTGATGTCCTGTTCATTGTATGAACAGTAAAAATAACTCTGGTATTTCTTAACACCAAACCTCTGAGTGCATAATGCTCTGAATGACTTTTTAGGTCAAAAGAATCAAACCTCTAGCTTCCACAGTACTGAAGTAGTTGATGAATGAAGGAATTAAGGAAAGTCTTTATATACAGACTGCAAAGCAAAATCTGTCATCTATATTTTTAAGATAAACATTTTTTATTATTATTGTCAATAGGGTGAATTTCAGCAATACATGCCTGCAAGGAGCTAAAATGAATTCATTTCTCATGGATCAGATATACCAGAGTATATTATTTTCTAAAAAACTGAGACTGCTAAGACTTGGAGAGGCACAAGCCTTGCTGACTAAAATAACTGTCAATGCAGGGCCAGAATAGGGGACTAAATTTTCAAGAGTTCTCAACTTTGTCCTATTAATATCTAATATTATTTACTACTTTGTAGGATTCAGTAAAAAAAAAAAGTAATTATAAATATTTCTTAGTGATATTAAGTTCGATTATTTGCTACTAATATCTGTCATAGAAATCGAAGAGCTCTTCTAAAATGTTTATTATGACCTCAAAGTGGGCAAATGAAATTTGTGGATATTAAAAAATCCTAGTCAAAAGAAACAACTGCTACTTTTCACACTAGAAGGTAAAGCTGTCCCTGCACTCCCTCTGCCCTAAGGTTTCTTGTGAAGGAATAACCCAGTTCATGTGCACTCAGAGTGCCAACAGAGCTTCCCTTGTAAGGATGGTCGGTGATGCTCTCATCTCTGTGGGAAGGGGACTGAGAGCACTAAGTCATTGCACAGAAGCCAGTGAGCAGCCAGTGTATGGTAACAGCTTTCAGACCCAAACTAGCTAATGTTACATACATACTGCCAACCAAAAATTTTCCTGATCAATTGCCAGTCACTGGGGGATTGTGTCAGCTCCAGTGCTGCTCTTCTGTTTTCTCATGTACTCCTTCCTGTGAGAAACACCACCTCAGGTTTCTTTACCCCTTCTCCTTGTTTCAAGCATTGGAACCAGCTTCTCATAACTTTCCTCAGTAAATCCGATTCTTGGTTCTTTTCCTTGCATTATAAATCACTGTGTTTCCTAACCTTTCACTGTACTGTCCATCTTTTTATCTATTGCTAAAACTTTGTTTTCTTACTTTCTGTGTAGTGCTGGATTAATTCACACATTCATAGACAAGAATTGTGGAAGGTGAGAAATGATTACTGCAAAAGTGATGCTGACATAAGAAATGTTTCCTCTACACACACCAGCAGCAGTCTGATGATGCAGCAGATCAGC